TATTGTATCGCCAGCAGCCACTTGATTCTCTTCTAAGTGCTCTCAACTTTCATGCCATAGGCGTTATAGCGCCTGCGGGTTTATCGTGTAATAATAATAATAATAATAACCAGAGCTAAAAAAAAAAAAAAGTGCAAGGTGCGGTACTGGTGATGCGCACTTTAAAGGTCGTAAAGCTATTCTTATGTTGCATATGCTGCTGTTATTATCATGTTCATTAACCTCCTGCGATAGGTGCTACCTGACCTTGGCATTTGTCTCCCTCTGTTGATATGGTAGTAATGTATTGTTTGCGTGCGTAGAGGGAGGAGAGTACAGGGATCACTTTTGACTGTACTTCTCACGCATCACTGAGGCACTTGTCTGCACTAGACACCCGCTGTCTACACTGTCCATAATTACTTCATTTTAACCCCTCCTTCCATGACCCTCCCACTTTGTGGCACACTTCTCTACTCATCCTTCATAAAACTCCCCAGGCTAGTGTGAGTTTCCTCACTCTTAGCTGTTTCAAGTTTTTCACTTGATTTTATAATGATGAATGATTATTATGTGAGACAGGCGCCAAACCCGACCTTGGTGAATTTATCTTATTTCTCTACTATCAGGTTTTTGTATATAGGCGGGGGTGTGGGGTTTGGGGGGAGGGGGTTGAGGAAGTGGTTTGAGGAAGGGTTGGGAGTTGGAAGCTCTGTTGTCATGATGAAACATCGAAGCTTAATGCATACTGTTAATGGATTGCTGAAAACCCACATGTAGATAAACAGTGAAAAAAAAACTATTTACATCCTCGTCTGAGATATTCAGCTGAAGATCTCAAATGTGTGTGAACTGGACCTGCGTAACATCGGCCTGCAGTGTTCCTCCATTCTTGTGTTCTTATATCTGCGTGTGAGTTTTCCTTAGTCCGTCCGATGCCATATTGACTAAAGCGTATAAGTAAAAGTCTGTAGCAGAGACCCCACGGTTCAAATCGAGTCTAGCTGATGAGAACTAGCTTCTGTATAGCTACCTCAAACAGTCAAAACATTTTAGATTAGGATAGTATGGCAAAAGCGGGATTAATTACTCTTGGCCTTGTTTCGAGAGAGTGTAGCGCAAGGTTATGGTGGTGGTTGTGGTAAGGTAATGTGGTGGTGTAATAAGGTGGTGGTGAAGAAATGTTGTGTGGTTATTAACCATTTGAGTTTCTGTTGGTTGATGTTCACCTTAGCCTCGTCTCTTGACTTTGGGCGGACTGACGAAATTTTGCCTTGTCGTAATAACCTCTTATTCCATGTATGGAGTTATTGTTTATATCGTGACTAACTCGTTCCATTTCTTACTTTCACGTTGTGAAACATATTTCCTTGTGCCCTGGACTGTTTTGTATGCAATATTTGTCTCTTCAGCCACGCTCCTCCAGTGACGTTCATGTAGGTCTTGCAGGCTTTGCTCATAGTTCTTAGCGTCACTTCTGGTATTACGCTGAGGGTATAACTCGCCTTTTGGAGAAAGATTTCGAGGCGGAATGAAAAGAGGACTACAAGGAGGAGGGGAGAAGGAAGAGGACTACAAGGAGGAGGGGAAAAGGAAGTGGACTATAAGGTGGAGGGGGAGATGAAGGGACCATGAGGAGGAGGGGGAAGGACTACGAGGAAGGGGGAGAGGGAGGAAACTCATTCTTCCTCTTTCTTTTCCTCAGTGGGGTAAAATGTTTGTCTTGCCATATGTGTCCGGGGCAGCTGCAACTCACAAGCACCCCAGGTTATTAGCACAAGGAGAAACCTACTTCTCAGACGAGGTCTTTTGATAGGGGTTTTGGTTAGGTGCCCAAGCAGGGCACGTGGGGGGTAGGGGCACATTTCAGGCACGTAGGTGGCAGCACTAGACAGGGTGAGAGGTTGAAAGATGAGTCATTGAGGTGAGTCTTGGCCAGATGGTGGGGTTGGGTCATTGTAGATGTGCCCATCTCTGTGTGTGTGGGGGGGGGAGTCCAGGTGCTTGCTAATATATAGTTCTTGGTCCTGGTGCTTCATTATCTGTTAATGTATATTTTCAGATAACTCATTCTTCGCTCCAGAGAGTACCTTCCAGGTTCTTTAAGGCTGTAGTACTCGGTAGTTTAAATTTTTTATTGGCATTCTGTGGGTAGTAAACTATCTTTTTACTTTTTGTAGCTCTGATATCTCTTCTGCCATGATCGGAACCGTCAACACCGAACAATATTCTAAATTAGAGAAGACGAATGATTTCAATAGTGTCACTATTGTCAATATTTCTACTGTTTTGAAAGGTCTCAATACCGGATGTTTTTTACTTAGATTTTGCATACGTTAAAAAATATTGATTTTTTATGATTTCCTAAATGGCTTTTTGTTACTTTTGTTTATTCTGTCTGGTACGAGTGCTTAAGTTTATGATAATTTGTTTACGTTTATTTTTCTATTTACATTATTTGCGTTTTTCTAAGAAGTTCAACAAGCTTTTTTGTTTTATCTAAAATATTGTACCATTTTTGTCAGTGTTTGATCTTTTGGGCTGATGTGAACGCGGGGGTTGTTTGTAAAACATTGTAGTATTACATGTGTTTAGGAGAATGTGATTGGTGACAGTAGGTGAATATGGACGTGGCAGATGAGGTCAGGGTAGGTGTTGGCGTGGGCGTGGTAGCGCTGGGGCTAGTGTGGGCGTGGTCGATGAGGTCAATGTGGGCGTGGCTGGTGGGGTCAGCGTTGGCGTTTGCGTGGCTAGTTTTGTGAGAGAGGGTAATTGCGCTACGTGAGAATTCCCAGAACACCTGCACAATAATAGTAATGTTAGGAGGTACATGCGAAGCTCATATACTTAATGTTAAACATGATCTTAGTGTCGCGGTATAATGTTGGCCAATGTTGTAGCCTCATCCCCGGTCCTGAGGGAAGACACTGCGTGTTGTAGCTACATCTCTGCTCCTCAGGGAATCACTGCTTGTTGTAGCCTCATCCCCGGTCCTGAGGGAAGACACTGCGCGTTGTAGCTACATCTCCGCTCCTCAGGGAATCACTGCTTGTAGCCTCATCCCCGGTCCTGAGGGAAGACACTGCGCGTTGTAGCCACATCTCTGCTCCTCAGGGAATCACTGCTTGTAGCCTCATCCCCGGTCCTAGGGGAAGAAACTTTATTGTAGCTATATCTTCGGCTCTGAGGGAAGAAATAATTACATTCAAGCCTAACTCAAGTTATCTTTTATAGGGAAGAGGGAGAACCTTAACACTGACGAATGGTTCTTAGAGGAATTGGTACTACTATTTATCCCCTTTCTCGAATCAAAACTGATTATTTTTTTCCAGGCATTGTTTGAATCCAACGGGTTTACGGCTTCTTTGTAATAATAATAATAATAATAATAATAATTTGCTTTTGTAGAGTGTTAGAGAATGATTTTTAATGTTTTATTTTAATAACATCAGTTAATCGCTTTAAAATAATTAAAATATATAAGCAGTGCAAATTGTTGAATTCTCCATATAGTTGTGAACGTTTTTGTGAATGTAATATCTGCAACATTGAATTCGATCTGTATTGCAAATAACCCGGCGTAGTATTAAACCATGTTGACTTACTAAGCGGCCTTCCACAGAGCCATCGCTCCTGCGTCTCGGCCCCAGACTAGGCCTCCTATTCTTGATTAATTATGAATGGTAATTAACTAACGTTTACCGACCAGCTATGATAAGAATAACCGAGCTAAAAAAAATCTTTAAACTAATTTGTAAAGATGAAATTAGATAGTAGCCTTAATTAGCTGTTAGCTATGTATGCGCTAATAATGATAAATGTTAAATTACTTCATTAATAATAATTTAACTAGGTTAAAAATAGTGAGCTGCAAAATCGCATAATAATAATAATAATACCTGAAATATTGTCATTGTAACAACATACTGCATTAGTTTGTTCAGAAAGATACGTGAGTAAACACTAAGAAATATTTATTAGTAAACATTTCGTTCATAGGACCTTGATCACTTTTAACAGTTTAAAATAACAGTATAAGTGGAGAGTGAGGTGACACTGTCACTCAAACCCTCTACCTAAATATAGTTATTTTTAAACTGTGTGTGCTAGAAGTGATTAAGGTCCCAGGAACGACACGTTTTGTAATAAATATGCCTTAGTGTTTACTCACATTTCTTAAACCAATTTGTCGGTATCAATTGCCAAGGTTTATACCACGCTGCATTAGTTACATGACTAAGAAATGTGTAATGAGAGTGGAATTATGAAATTCTCGTAATAGCCGGAAGATGTCTTCCCCAGTGAAGTCTGTTATAGACATGCTACTGTGATACCTGTCAGCTTGGTTTAAAGCCGCCACTCACAGGACGAACCGTAGGTGTTTACCTGCAGGTCAGGCATTCCTGTTGACTACCTGGTCAACCTGGCTGTTTGTGTTAGCGGCCCACAGGTCAACATACACACTACACAAATAACCTGCACGTAGGAGAAAAAAACTTTTGACGTTTCAGTCCGATTTGAACCATTAACTAGTCACACAGTCACATAGCCATCACAATCTGGCTGATTCGGTACTTGTAAAAAGAAGTTGTACAACTTTCTGAAAACTCACAAGATTATTTAGTGGTGCACAAACTACCGCTCACAGGTATGAGCTGCTGGTGCACAAACCACCTAGCTCACGTGATTGGCTGCGAGTGCACTAACTACCGCTCACGTGATGAGCTGTTAATGTGCAGTACCTAAATGGTAATTGAGACTATCCTGCTACATAAATGGTTACTAATGGTGTTCGGGAAGTGGTGAGAAGTTGTGAAGACATCGTAGTTAATTACTGGGAGTGTGTTAGAACCTCCGGTGTTGTTTTCGGAGTAGGTACGGGTGAAGTGTTGTCTTGGTGCGTGGCGTGACAGGTAGACCTATTGTGCTGGAGGACACGCCAAGGCAGAGAAAGCGGCATGATGGATGTGGAGGAGGGAGGAGGAAGAGGTGGGTGGTACGGAGGACGGGATAGCAGCTGTAGTCGGTTGTGAATCGTGGCGGGTGGCGGGTGTACCTTCCCTGGCTCCTCAATACCCTCAATATCACTCCACACTGGCCTCTCTTTACACTTCACCCTGTACCTACATTGCCACCTCTTCTCCCTACCACATCCTCCACCTGACAAGTTGACCTGTGTCCATTATGGATTTTACCTGAGGTTCAGGTCATGGCAGTTATTACACTGCAGTGGTTGGTAGCAGCGGCTACACACCACCTTGGCATGGCAAGAAATCGCCCTCGCTAATTGTTCCATCCCACGAGCTAATGATCAAGGATTTTTTTATTTCATAAAGATTTGCGACGTAATTCTGTCAGATGAAGAAATGACTATACAGTGGAAACCACGAGGGGTTAAATGTTAGTGTGGACAGTTTATCATCAGAGGTTTAAACCGGGAATCACCAGTAGCAAATATAGAAGACACCAAGGATGCAAATGCTGTGTTTACCATGATTAACTTTCTACTAGACGCCCTGAATATGCCAACCTCGTGCTGCTGCCTTAAAGAAGTTATCCACTACTACGACCATCAAGATCCGAGAGAGTTTGCCTATTAGACATGAAGAGCAGGACCCGGGGCTGCTAGCGGGAGTACCTTGGTGAAGCGCACATGATCGTGTGAAACGAGAGCGAGGGATTACATGAGCAGGGGACGTATAAGCTTCAGAGGACAAGGGAAGGCTTCGTGACGTAATGGGTGAGGTGGCAAGCTGGCCCTCACTGGGCCGGGTGACGACTCCGGTGTCCCGATCGACACCCACAGCCTACCCTGGTCGACTCTTGCTGGGAAGCACAGTGCCTTACTTACCTTTGTAGCCAAAATCACAGTGCCTCACAGATTTCGGGATACTTCACTATCTGGTATTAAGACCAGTACAGTGATGCGAAGTTCTAGTGACATTTGGTGCTACATCTCAAGAGCTTGTATTTAGTGTAGGAGTGGGTACTGGCTGGTCATATACATGTTAAGCCTCTTACGCTATCCAAAAGCCTCGAAAGTTTTACAATAAAGAAAACACATTTGATCGTGCATTATGACAGTGTATCAGTAGTAGTAATAAACTAACCACATTTATGGAAACCGTAGAGTTGAAGAACATTGTACATAGTTTGACCCGTTGTCGCCACGTACGGGGAAAGCAAAGCGGTTTCGATTTTCTGGATTGTCGGGATGTGGAACCTAGTGGAGACCTGACGCCACACGCTGCAGCCGCAGGCCCCCACCACTGGTGGACACCCACCCACCTCCCTAATATATGGCTTAAACTTCCAGTCTTACGGCCAAAGCATCCAGACTTGCACAAGGCTTCCAGACTTACCCCCCAGGCATTTACACCATTATTCAGTCTATCCACTCCTATATCCAAGGTATCGAGACGAAGCCGTGTAGTGAACGTTTCATTATGCAAGTGAGTAGAGATAACACAAGGTTTAATTTGTGAAGGTAGCCATGGATACGATACCTTCCATAATGTATGCTCCATTAAACACTAAAGTCACCAGCCTACAGTCCTGCTGTCATCGTGAGAATCTCAGGTTGTCAGAATGGCTGATTAATAGAGCGAGACCAAGAAATACCATCTCGTTGTTGCAAAGTGAGCTGGGGAGATACTGCTTCTAAAAAGCTATCCAAAGTTCAAAGTTACATTGTTACCTTTTTTTTTTGTTTTATAATAGTTTAGAAACTGATTGCACATCGAAGTTGGCGTGACTTAAATGTTTGTGATATGTGGATGTTAGGGTGTGGTCCAATTTAATTGACCAAAACCACTCGTTGTAAATATCTGTAGTGCGTTAGTAGTGTCTTGACTATTGTGCACTGAATGCAAGGTGTGGACACCAACTGCTAATTTTGTACTGCTCCACAAATACCTCGTAAAATATATAGCATTGGAGAAGCGATAATGCATTTTGATGTGGACGACAGTCTACATGTTTGAGCTCTGGCGCCTCGCTGGCTGTGTGATTGTCACAGGAAATAGTAATAAGAAGAGACTTTCTTTTGCGTCCCTATTTTCGTGAACAGTATTAGTATTAAGGAAAACGTGGCGAGGTGATTAGAGTAAGTGTTAGCCGGGAAGAGGTAGTTAGGATGAGTGGGGAGGAGGAGAAGACGAAGGAGAAGGAGAAGCGGGGAGTATGGCGCTTGTGGGCGTGGGGGCGGAAGGGGCGCCGAAGATACACTCTGAGGGACGCCCAGTCTGAGGAAGACGTGTGTCTCTACAAGGACCCCTTGCCAGTCCTTAAGAAGGCCTTTACTTCAGACGACCACCTGCTGGCAGCCTCTGACAAGACCTGCCCTCACGCCCGCTTCAACGATAATGACGAAATCGAGAAGACGGAACCGACCAAGTCCGTATGGGAGTCATTTACCTGGCGGTGTCTCCCGGATTCCCACGGCGCTGAGGATGTCTCTAGCGATACAGCCAATACAGAAAGTGAAGCAGAAAATATTGAGAGCGATACAGAAGATTCCAAGAAAGAGGGCGCTGGGGTTCAGAATATCGTAGACCGGCTTAAAGCTTGCGGGGTTGGGCATGGCCGTACCGGGGAATTTGACTGGCCTAATATAGACACATGGACCTCGCACGACCTTAGGCAGTTTCTCATTAATAAAGCACAACTCGAGCTGGGGGGACCTTATGACAGCGATAGTATAAATAGTATGGAGATGAAATCTTACGTTCAAAATAAATGTAACACAATTGGTAGCCATCAGGTAACGCCAGCACCAGCCATCCCCATACCTGCGGGTGCCACGCCTCGCCCCGTGCCCCTCAGGCCCCGCGGCCGGGGCAGGATGCTAGCCACAGCTCTGCTCAGGAGGGGTGGCAAGGCTCGTATGGACAACCCACGAAACTCGTTACAACTTGAGCACGTCAGGAGGGAAACTTCACCACCACCACCACGAGCTCGTCTGTGGTCACTTCCAGCCATCATAATCACCACCTCCGAGGACCCCACTAAGTCACCCTCTCCACCAGGTGTTGCCTCCAGCCTCTCCGACAGTATGAACTACCTGACGGTGCCCAACACTCATGCTCTCCGTGGCCGTCAGGACACGGAGGACACACAGAGTGAATCAGGGGCCACCAATGAGACCATTCTACCTTGTGCCGAAACTGACGTCAAGACTATAAACGGGGGTCTGGCCAGCGCCACCAATCTAGGGTCCCTCATGGACTTGTGGACTGGTCGGTGGCAACTGCCGGATGATAGCGATTCTGAAGGCAGACCCTATCCCTCGGGGTCTCCTCCTCCAGACCCCAGACCGCAGGCCGCCCCGGAGTACCTTCAGTATGAAGAGTCATTTGTAAGTGTTGACATTTGAGCGTTTTTGTCATTGTTCACTTCCACTGCTCTCATATTTCCCCTAACTCTTTGTCAGGAATTATCTGTCTTCATAATTCATGTTGGGTATGAATACGTAATGTATAATGTAATTATCTCTTAATATAATGTTGAATGTTCATATTCTATTTCACGCAGCAAGAGGTAACGCTGTCCAGTAAATTACTAGCAGCCGCCCACAGGTACCATATTGCGGGCGTGGCATGTCGCCCACCCAGCTCTCATCACTGCCTGTTATGCTAATCCCAGTCCCCCAGGAGGCCTAGCCTCCTTCCCTTCCCTAGGCATAATGTTTTATTAAAGCTTAAATTGAGCATTTTTTTTTATTTCCCTTAGTTTTTGTGTTTAGTGTGTAGGCAGTGCTGAACTTTGCAGAGTGGCAGCAGCAGTAGCAGCAACAAGAAGAGTATCAGCAACAGACGGTAGCCTAGTGCATGTGTTGTGCTTCACCTGTGTTTAGTGGCCACCAGCTGGTTGCTAGTTGAGTGGCATCACTAGTGGTCTATGTTCACCTCAAATAGGTTGATCCACCACCGCCTTAGGAGTACTAGTGTTATGCTTACTCGTAGAGAGCAGGGTAGGTTGAGGGTGTTGAACTACCTCACTCCACCTACTTGTTACAATACTCTCTAAACCTCATGAACATAATGTATCTAAATAGAGCACATTTATGAGGTTTGAGCTTGTATTTAGTTTCATACTAGGCTATAGGTAACAACTCAAGGTTGTCAACTTTCATGGATGATATAATAATATAG